AAACGTGTTTGCTTATGGCTACTAGAATTACAGAGTTTAATTCAAGTTGATATTTTGTCCGTCTAGAAGGCCCAAATGAGCCAGTTCTTGGCATAAAGGACGTAGAGGGATAAAGCTATCTGTTAAATGTAAACTTTTCCTGGCCTGTTTAATTCTTTGACCTAAATTCACTCCTCAATATTTCTTTCGTACTTTCGGGTATTTACCTATTCTCGGCCACCCTGTTCGCCTTCAACACTAAAAGCGCCCATAGTTCTGTGTGGAGTATTCGTATCAAGTCAGTTGTAAAAATAAGGCTGTAATGGGGTGGCATGCTGAAAACTATGAGCTCTGACTTAACCCAACTCTTTTTTAGCCTCGCTTGACTGCACTTAAGAGAAAAACTAGGTGTGCAAAAAACTTCCTTTTCTAACACGAAACAAAGCTCTTTAAGGATAATTTGTGATCGAAATATCAAAACACAAGCCTTATAAGTGATTTAACAACAACAAAAATGGTAATAAAGCGTTGTTTATTCTGAGGAATCGCGCCCACTCTTTTGTGGCCGAGAACTGGGCCCATGAACGAAGCCTCCATTTTCGTTATTACTCGGGAGAAAACAGCGTCGAGAAGTCGATAGCTCTACATGTGTAAACTGAATGCTGAAGCTAGTTGTGCGTGAAATTTTAAGTCCTTACGACTATTCCAAGGTAAGAAATACAAGTTTACGTTTTTTGTGGCCGAGAACTGGGCCCCATACTGTACACACCCAACGTACTCAAAGGTTGTGAGGCATGGGCCTTTGGTCAGCCAGCCCCAAGATATGTTTTAATTGACATAATAAGGTTACAGCAAAGTGGATAAAGGGTACATCAAATAGTTAAGAATTGGTTGATGCTTAGCGTGCGTATATCGAGTTATGGATGCACGCGCATCCATAACTCGATATACGCACGCTAAGCATGGACCAATTCTCTAACATCCTACATGCGCTAACGCCGGACACCTAAATCCCGCAAACCTCTACAATTAGGAAAAACACGGACCGTGTGCCCCCGACCAAATGTAGCGGCGCTTTTAAGGTTATTATATAAACAAAACAATGAAAGATAAATTGCATAACACTATCTGCACAACACTAAAACAAGAAAAATGAACCTTATCCGAAGTTGTGAGTGGCAAGGCTGACCATAGAATGCCACAAGTTTTTCAACCCTGTCTTTTTACTTACTCTCCAACCCAGAACTCCTGACGGATATAGAGCGTTTTCACTCACGAGGCCAGCACACGTGCAAATTAACTGGAACAAAAGAAAGTGTTAACACAAAAAAAGAGTTCAACTCACACAGTATTTCATTGTTTTGGAAAACCAATATGGCTGCCGTGACGTCATGTGAAAACACTCCATTACATAAGTCTTGAAAATGCTTTATTTGTGGTACACCTGCCCTGACTCACTGACCTACTTCGAAAAAACAAAAACAAAACAAAAAAAATACAAAAAAACAATACGATACAGAAAAGCTCGTAAACACACTTATTGGTTCTGTTTGAGACTTTGTCCTTTATATTTGTCTTTGTTAAAACTTCACCTTTCTGAAAATTTTAAAATCCATCCGGAAAAACTCTAAAATCTCGCAACTGACTTTCTAGAAGACAATCCATTCCAGTCATTTTGGGGGAAATTTCTAGAACGAACTCTTACTGTATTTCGAGCACGGCAGCCCATTAACATCTTTTTTTCTGACTTAAATTTGTTTTGTAAAGTTCAGCTGCAGTTTTTCTCCTTCCGATGACGTCTTAAACCAAAAAAAATGCTCATCTGACTATTGAATTGAAGCGGTGTCAAAGCCTTTTAAGAGCCTTTTGTAGTTTCAGTTGAAGAGCATTGCCATATGTGATAATTTACAATAGATGCGCGAATCTTCCCCGGTAGATCGAAGATCGCTGAGCGGACAAGACGAAAGCAAGTTTGTTCAAATTCTCACCGCTTATGATGTCAGAAATATTGATGGACTTCGTGACGATAGTGAAGCTGTTTACGGCAGCAGTTATGTGTGTTAGTGGCATTTTGTTAGCGGTCTGTTACTGCTGTTGTTTAAGAGATGTGAATGACCCCAATGAACTGGCTGTCGCGGATCTTGGAGAGAAAACCTTCGACGAATGCATTGAAAACGAAGAAAGCGCAACACCTGTAGGTGAAGATGCTGTGGCACAGAAGAAATCATTTGAGAACGAATGCTATACAGTTGAAGATGAGACCAAAAAGCCCCCACGAGCAGCCTGAAAATTCCGCAAGATTTTAAAGTACCTTGCACCTCTCTTTGGCGAGCTTTATTTGATCGAACTGAACTGAACTGAACTGCATGTGACTCTGGATAAATATTTAGTGAGAAACCTTTCACAGTTTTGTATCACAAGTTTCAAATCACAAAACTAGATAAGCCGGGTCGAACAACATACCAAACACTGCAATCGGATCAGGACACTCGTGTAAGACTCATCTTGTTTTAAAATTTCATTACATACTCATGTTCTTTTTATTTGTGCTAATTTACTAGTATTTCCACTCCGAAAACGATGATATTTTATATGATTTTTTATGTGCTGACGGAATGTTAAGTGCCGCTGATTATTGCATGAAATACAGCGATAGTCGTTTTTTGTGAAGCCTAGAAAATCTTGTGGTAAAATGATTCAAGTAATCAATTAAAACCAGAAGTGCCCTTCAAAACGGTTTTAAGCAAATTTTAGTTTTTTTTCTTTCAATTCCCTTTTATCACCTTGGATATTTGACGGTCAAACAGTACTCTACTAAATGGCATACTGAAGGGGACAGGGTCGGGTTAGGGTTAGGGCTATGTTTGTAGTCATTACCCAAAAACCTACTTAATTTTTGTTGAAGCCTCCGCTTTTTGTCATCCTTGCACTTCCAAAACAACTTGCTAGTTTCTGCAGGATCACACACGATTCCCCCCCATCTCCACTACCCCTTTTCCAAGACATTCGTCAAACTTATATTTTTACACACGCTTGTATACCTCAAAGAAATCTAAATCTCATCTCATCAAGAAAATTTAAAACCTCATGCCGTTTAATTTTAGCTTGAATCTTGGAAATGTCGCCATTTCCTGAGGCAACTTGCTTTAGCTTTGTCAGCAGGTGCTACCTGGTTTTTCAGTTCACGTTATTTTTGTCAAACATTGATTTCAAGCATGATTTTCTGATATTAATATCACCATATCGCGCAGATATAGAGAAGCATAGAATATATTACTGAGTTTACTGTCGTTCGTCAAATCAACCGTCTTGTCGCTGCTTTGAAATCAGAAGCCCATAGCTGTTTTTATAGACTTCCAGTCAAGTGCAGTTAGCAAACTAAGAGTTTGAACAAGTTAAAAGTGGACAATTTACTTTAGATAAACATGAAAACGGAACTGTGCAATCAGAATATCTTTTGTGACATTAAAAACTGTTGAGCGGAGAAGACGATTGCTCGAAATAGGTCGGCTGATTTACGTTTTAAAACCCCCGTCTCAGAAAATTCTAAAGATCATTGCCTATTCGTTAGTAATGAGCGAAAAATAAAGTTGCAAAACCAGAAATTCACATATTTTATAAAAGTTGTTATTGTTTCTTTGAAAAACGGCAATGAATGCAAAAATACCAATTAATTTTCTTGTCAAGATCGTAATTAAAGAGACTACCTCGTCGAGATTTTGGACGACGATTGAAGAGAAGCGCACGCTTGCAACTGGTCTTTGGGTTTGACCAATTATATATGGCTAGCTTATTGACCAAGCGTGAGGTCAAGATGGCTGGATATCGGCCAAGGTTTTTCTTCCGTCTCGGTCCATAAACACACAAATAAAAAAGAACGTTGACCGAACAAGGTTGGTCAACAAAGGAGTTATTATGTTTTTTCTTGCGGGACACAGCGGGTAATCCAAGAGAGCGCCGTCTTGTCCGCTCGGGAAGCCAATCACAGCGCAGGATTCGGTTCATCTTGTCCGCTCACGGAGCTGGCCATATAAGAAGAAATGGTGAAATGACCGGTTACTATTAAAAATCGAGAATTAATAGCTAACGAACGCGACAAAAGGGGAAAAGAACAAGAAACGCTAGCTTTTCGTTTTAAAGTATTACTGCGGTCTTTTTCCTCAATAATAAATGTATATCAAATATTTTTTATACTCGTTGAATATGTCTTTGCTAATCTCTTAGTAACACAGAGCCGCATCATCATGAGATCTTTCCCCAGATAGCATGTTTGTCGTCATCATCCTCCATTCTGTCTCTACTGTTCAGCCCCGTGAACAGAACAATAAGCACTTAATGACTGGTCCCAAGGGAAACGGTGAGTTTTGTTTCCCCGAGGCCCTCAATGTTGAGGGTCGAGGGAAAACAAAAACTCGCTGTTTCCCGCGGGGCCAGTAATTAAGTGTTTTGTTATACCTCCGAACTCAAAAATAGCAAAAACCTGTGAAAAAATCGTTTGCTTGATGGCGGCTGACACACCAACTTGCCGCGGTTTCAAGGAGTACGACCTGATCACGTGCGAGATAGTAAGTTTTGACCCACGACACGTGGCACGTTCTCCACCAATCGGAAAACGTATTTGAGTTGGGAGATATAGCAATCGGTTTTGCCAAGCGTTTTGCAGTCAACAAGAAAAACTTTAGGTGTGAAAATTTCCATCACCTTTTCTCTTATTGAGGCTTTTTTTAGGGTCCGACTGAATGTTTGTAAACCCAAAAGCGTACGAAACAATGGCGGTATTAAACCTGGACACACGCCCCGCCCCTAGCCTTGCCTTGTGTAATACTCTTTGAATGATTTAAGAGAAAAACAGACTGCAGTAATCTGTTTCATTTGTACTTCTGGTTTGGTTGATCGTAGCTGTAGGTTGTTATGGGTTAATATTAGATTTTCCGAACTTGCAAGTGAACAGTCAAAACGAAACGAAAAAACCAGCGGACATGCGCAATCAAATGAAAATGTGAAGTTAAAACTCTACTTAATTATACATTGATAACATTTATTTCTGTCGCCTCATTTTTTTACGATTATAATTAAAATGCATCCCATGTTAATTCACGTGGAAACGATACTGATTCCTGGCCCCAGTTGTTCGAAGGCTATTTATAACACTATCCACCAGATAAATCACTATCCAGGGAATAGGTGTTCACAAGCAAACCACGCTATCCACTGGATAGTGTTATGTACCTTTCGAACAACGCGGGCCTGTATATCAGCATTACTTTGGTCACACTTACTAACAAAGTGTACAAAATATAGTTGTTTCTATACATACATTTCTTATGATCACGGGTTGGTAAAATTATTTATAGTTGTACACAGGAATATTCACAGACCATACACAGTTTTAACAGAGCTTGTGGTGCCTAAACATTACACTACTGAAGAAACACTAGTAATCCTTTAGATGACGTTATTTTCTCCCCTTTTGTGGAACAGACCTTGTGCAGAGCTAATTTTGTTTGATGTTAGTTTCCAAACTTTGAAAACTAGTCACCTAACACGTTTTACTTCTCCAGGAGATCTCCATGATAAACGTCAAAGTGAGTCAAAGAACTCTTTTAGAATCTTAGGAACATCTTCCTCTTTGTAGTCCTTCACCTTTAAGTTCTCTCCAATTGCTCCACGGATCATGGCAGACAGATCTGATAAGCACAAAGGATAGCAAATTGAAAAGACCAGTTTTACTTATTAAATGTTAATGATACACTCTCTAGATACCAATTCACCAAAGTCTTAGAGTAAATGTAAGTCATAAGCCTTTAAGATTGTTTCAGAGGCAAAGAAGTTAAAGCTGGTACACAACCTTAGAACAAATGCCCCTTAACAGATGTCAATGACTACCGGCACCTTACAAATGACTTAATGATGACATAGAGGAATCCAGCAAACAGATCTCTAACAGACCAACTTAATTTGACTAACAATAGATGATTCTCAAACAGACCGACTTAATTTGACTAACAATAGGCGGATTGGAGCTTACTAGAACTGACCAATGACTGCTGACAAACTTTACACGAGTATTACAGCCAATACCATCATGGCTAAACTGACCAATCACTTTCAACAGACCAGACTTATAACACCATCGACTGACAAACACTACTTCACTTGACTCTGAAGATGACTTCGCTCAGTTTGTCAAAATGCAGTCACCAACAACAGTTCTTTTGAGAAGTACCCTCACTTGGACGATCACATTATATGAACTAAAGAAGTTGAAGTACCCAAAAGCTAATATATTGTTGCTGGTTCTTTGATTGGCAGACATGGAAATATGTTCAAAAAGAAGCTAGTGTACCTTAGGGTGGGGGGCAGGGAACAGGAGCCAAGGAGAATAGGGGCAGTAAGGGTATGGAATGAGGGATAGGGAAGGAAGTGGAAGAGAAATGCAAAACACTAATTTTTGTCATGTATTATTACATTAGAATACTTTCAAAAACAAGAACTCAGAATGTTGTTTACCATATAAATTGCAGTTGCATTACGTTTTTCCATTGCAGTGGTTACAGGCTGAGTTCCCAACTTGGTTTTATAACTATCTCAATTCTTTGTCACCAAAGACCATTTAAAGTAAGTGAAACATCTAGGAATTGCACAACTAACTGACTACATGTAGGTCTGTAGGATGTGTTTTGAGTCTCTTAATTTGCAAGGAAGGGGAGCAGGATGGAAAAGGGCAGGAGCCAGGAAATATCTAGGTATAAGAAAAGGTACAGAAGGATATGGGAAATGGGAGGTTCTGACGCCCCTGTCCCTGCCTTTAGGGCTCAGGCACTATAGATCTATCTGTATTTGAAAAACAACTCAGACTTGCTGGCCAAGCTGTGACAGAGTATATCTAGTACAAGCTACTCCGAGACCTAAAAAATAAATAACATTAATTATGGCTGGTTTAATATTTGACTCACATTTTCCACTGTCTGGTCTGAACAGGCATAGAATCTTCTTGTTATTCTCCATTGCTCTTCCTATCTCATAACCAACTCCCAAGGAAGGCTGGGTAACCTCAGCCACCAAAGCTTGACAACAAATAACAGATAAAACAGAGGAATCAAGTATACACCATTAAGGAATGTAAGCAATGATAAGATTAAAAAAAAACTCGCCTGACAACTGGCCAAAAAGGTAAGTTTACATAGAGAGTACTCCAGCTTACCATCAGATTTTACCAGCCATGCCATGTCACGGTCATGAATATACTTGTCACTACCTAAAATAAATGAATCAGTCACAGATAGTACATTAAAGAGAAAGTTCCTCTTAGTTAGGCCAAACTGACTCACACAGCTCAAGTGTGTCCTGGGATCATACCCCCCACCCACCCCTCCCACCCCTCCCACCAATGCAAGGACCCTGGCGCATGGCCAGGGGATCATTTCTCGAGAGCCCCGGAAACTTTTTGGGCCCATAAAGCCATTTGTAGTTTATCTGTATCTAAAAACGGAGAGGTGTATACGCCTGACACTACTTGTATGAAGAGAACCTCTATTCATATTAAGAATATGTGAATAAAACAGCTCAGTAATCATAAGGTTTGAGATTTTGCTATGGCTTTCTGGATGCGAAAACTTTTCGGGACCTTCAAGAAACGGGCCCCAGGGCTTGAATCCAAACGGCTCGTTTTGGGATTTTACCAGCCAACCACTGTTGCCAGACCTCGGCCACCCTCCTTCTGCCATAGCTAGTACTGCTAGTTCGAGTGGATTATAACCATATTAGCTCATATTCATTGTCCGACATAACTATAATACGTGTTTAAATATTGCAGGGCCAGGGATACTAAGATAAGTTTGAATATTACAACCAATGCAAGTTGAATATATTTATAGCTTGCACTATTAAGCTTTAGTTTTGCACGAGGCTGCAGGGAGTGTCTCAAACCTTGATCTTTGTCTAACACGTCAGCGTCTGCAATGTGCTCCGTTAAAACATCACCATATTCTTTCAGTTGATCTATAATACGCCTGTAGAGTGCTGCATCCTCTCTTCCACCGCGAATGCTCCCGCAAAAGTAAATAAATCGTTTAGAATGCCCGCTCATCTTCCAATTCACTCCGCAAAATGTGCCAGGCGCTCCCGTCGTCTATGAAATGCAGAACGCTAATCCTTACCCCTCCCTGGAAAGTTAGAGACAAAGAGACGTTTATGCGGAAAATTTACATTGTAAATGCTAAATGAACAAAAAATGATGCTAGCCTTTTAAAAATTACTGAATTATTTTTCTGTGCAATAGCTGCCTCTTACTATACGAGAACTCTTTAAAGAGGGTTTGTTTATTATTATTATTATTATTTATTATTTTTTTTATGTCGATCTGCCCCACTAGCCTTAGTCTCTGTCCTTTCTGCGCTTGCATGGGACGAGATGGCGACGAGGAAACTTCCTGAGACATTTCGAAAGCTCGTGATTTCCAAATTCACGACGAATTACAGAGAGGCTGTGGAGTTAATGACTCTGCCTCTTATGAAACCAGGACCAAATGAATTACTTGTCAAAAACAGGTAAAAAATCGGCAACTGTGGCAGTTCGCCTGCTTGCGACTCACACCTCCCAGCTAAAGAAAAGTGGTCCCTGCTACGCACTCTCACGGCATTTTGTAACTTTCTGCAAGGGTATCGTACTTAACATAACAGTCACTGCGTTTTGATCCTTACATGCTTTGCACAAAGTGTGAGCCATTGGTTAACGAGCAGCTGGTTTACTAGAACACAATGGTAACCCTCTTGCTGGTCTAAATACTACATGTACTTCTCTGATTAGCCTATAAGTTTGCGACTAGCCTTTTTATTGGTGTTCAGGTGACGGCTTGCATGACTTGCTGGCTCACATCACTTCGTACTCGTTTGTCCTAGATACATACATCCACTTATACCGTAAAATCCCCCTCAGGTTACAACCCCCCCNCCATGTGATATATCAAACATTAGAGACAGTACTGTTTCATCAGGATATCTAAACACTGACAAGAGAGTTGAAAATACAATGGGCAGTGGAGTATTTTTGATGAAATTTGAGGTGTTTGGATAGCCGATGGGACACTGTCTCGAGTGTTTGATATATCTTCTCAATCGAAACAAAAAGTGAGGAGTAAACAGAGAAGTAAAATCGTCAGAATCTATGCTAATTAAGACCGGGTATCCAAACCTCCTTCACGGTCATGATTTCCTATCTTTAAACTTGATGAATTATTAATGAGTTTGAAAACAAAAGTTTAAGGCTAATAGGGTAACAAGGTAATAGCTCTAAATGTAATGGTATGTTCTAGCTGTAATTTGTTTCTCAGATACGTTTTATCTCATCACACATACATGTTTATTCCACTTATATGCCCCCGCCCCCTGGATAGAAGCCCCCCGTTTATAAGCCCACCCAAAACCCCTTATGAAGTTATATAAGCCCAGGGCTATAACATGGGATTTTGCGGTACTGTATCGGGATCCATCTAGCTATTAACATTAAGATAACTAGCTCTGGGTTTCCTTCAGTGAAGGGCTTCACTCCTTGCCAGCTATGGGAGACAATACAAAACGAAGGGTGTAATTATCTTGGCTTAACTTAGTGACCAATCTACTACAACAAACCTCTTCCTACAGACACGTTTATATTGTGGGCACCTCTATTTTACATGTACATCTATTTTGCTTCAGTCACTTGGTCCCAGAGAAACCAGGATTCACATAATTCCTACCTAAGACCTAGTTGTGGGGGGGGNCCCATATGAAAAGGATGGGGGTGCTTGCCCAGTGTTTAATATTTGGGGTTCCCCTTGGTCCTGAGACATCTTCATATGATAATATGAACAGTTAGCTTTGTCTCTTTTGATGTCTGTATGAAAGAGAGTCAATTCTTGCAGATACGTAGGAATTAATGCCACAGATATAAATCACTCTGCCGGTCGATATCACCAGGGACAATCTCCTCCGCTAGAGGCAGGGCTGGAGGTAAGAGTCCTTTGACTGTACAACTGATAATAATAACTGATCACAGCCAACATAAAAAGTTTAGTGCACAATGCAATGACAAGAGCAATGTATTGTAATGTTTTAAATCTCATAGAAGGTTTTTTGTGTGACAACTTGCCCAGCCTTCTAGAAATTCTACTTCATATCAGGTGAGTTTTGTTGGGCTAAAGTTTGCATTTTGATGGGGCAAGAGCCAAACTACCTGTGGGAAGACCAGAGAAGTCTTATATGCTACTTAACAGGCCTGGTATGCTAAGCATACCAAAAGTAATGTGACTAGGGTTTACTGTACCAAGATTTGCCCGTAAATCTCACCACATCAGGTCAGTAACTTGGCAATCCAGAATATAAAGACAGCAGACAAGGCTTCTGATCAGCTGACTGTGAATTTGAGTACATTAATTGGTAGTAGTAAAATTCTAGTACTTATCACTGTTTTGTAATAATTTGTTTCAATAGATAATAAGAAATGTTGAGATTATCATTTCCTTTTTTAATCAGGGTATCGGAGAAGTAGTGTCAACTGGTGAGAAGTGTACAAACTTTCACACAGGCCAGGCTGTTGCATATTTTGAATATGGAACATTCTCAGAATACATGGTACTTTAGTTAGTTATTTTAATGAAAATTTTTTGATGGATTATGGATTAAGCTTAATTAATCGCGTCTGACATTTCTGACGCAAGAAGTCAAGAAGGCTTATGCAATGAAACATCCTGTGCCTGTATAGATTGTTGTGGACATTATTGCTAGATTGCAGTGTACTGATTGGTTAGTTCTAAAAATGGTGTTTGACCCATTTTTTTTGGTCAAATATGTAAACCATAGTTACATGAGTGAGACCCAAAAGAGTCACTCAGTGTATAAGTGCATATAATAAACAGAAAAATGTAAGAGCTCAAAAACAGGTCTAAGTTACGAATAAATCAAAATAATTTATCAAAATTTCTTAGTTGTCATAAAAAGTCATTCAAGATAATGTCAGATTTAGATCATTCTTCCTGAAATGATTTTTGCAGACAATTCCTTCAAGCCATGCTTACCCCATACCCAAGATGGATCCTGCATATGTTTCATTGCTGATCAGTGGTCTGACTGCCAGTATTGCTCTTCACAAGGTGCTTCTACCTAATTAATTTAATTTACATCTTTTCATTTTTATTATTTCATAGGCACATGCACTAAATAAAAATGAAGATAACACATTCCTGGGAGGGAATCCTATGTGATAAGGATGGCTTTCCTTGTGGCTTAAAAAAATTTAAAGCCACACCCACCGAGCAGGATCTTGGTTCCTCTTAGGGGTTCTTTTCAAAATTTCAGTTGAGCATCATCCTCCCTTTTATAGGGGAGTCCCCTTCCCCCAGGAACACATTATTGTCTTTAGAAGGTTATCTTTGCTCGCACTGTGAGCCTACACTGATAAGTAAATATATGAGAACAAACTCAAAGAGAAATCAGTGCCCTCAGAGATATGCTATTATATTGTTTGGTTATAACTGAAAATTTGAGAAACATGCTATTGGGCACTTGAAAGGCTTCCTTAGTGGTTCATGATTACAACACAACCTAATGTTATTAGTAATTATTGAAGGTGTATTGAATATAAGTATTTTTAATATTAAGCAAACAGCATTTGAAGCCACTCAGTCTTGTCTCTAGACTGCAAGGAGTCCAAAATCTCAGCACAGAGGTAAAATTTTTAAGCAGCAAGTGGTGAGGTAACAATGGGTGTGAAAGTCAATGTGAACCACACCCAACCAATCAATCAATCAATCAATCAATCAATCAATCAATCAATCAATCAATCAATCAATCAATCAATCAATCAATCAATCAATCAATCAATCAGTCAGTCAGTCAGATTTGTTGATCAGGTTGTACCAAAACCCAGAAAGTGAGATCATTCATAGTAGCTTAGTAAAAAATCTTGTGAACCTTCCAGACACTGCATATGTTAAAACGAATTGCTGTAACTGATCAAAACATTTTCACAGGTTGGTGAGATGAAGGCTAACGAAACAGTTTTGATCACAGGTAACCTCTTCTATATCAATTTTATCAAAACCACCTTATTTTCATAAATTTTGAACAAAATCCACATTTTTATGTCCTAAGTTTCAATAACAACATTAATAGTGTTGATTTTCTGACAAGGGTACTTTCTATTCTAGCTGCAGCAGGAGGAACAGGTCAATTTGCGGTATGTAGTTTAAGCAAAACACTCTAAATGGTCCATAACACCAGGGACATGTTAAGAAAACCGAGCCATGGTTTGATTTTGTGACACAGCCATTGCACGTGTTAACCTATTAGATGGAATTGAGGAAGAATTACAATGGAAAGGATGGAAATGGTTTTCTTCACAGTGCAGTCCAACCCCTATTAACCCTTTGACTCCCAAGCACGCATATACGCATACTTTGTACGCTCTTTGTACCACTTGTGACGTCATCAAATTAAATGTCACCAGATATTCTTGATAAGTAGATAGTAGAGCTAGGATAGATCTATCGGCTCAACAGTCGGTTTTGGATATCGACGGCATTCTGACATAGCAAATTGAAGAACAACGTTATTAGTTTTGGTGCAAAAATGGTCGTAAAATGGCCCATTATACCTATAATTGATCCCATTTCCAGGCTTTGCCCATAACTAACACCCAACTTTTTACGGTAGCCAGAAAGAATATGAAACGCAAAAGGTAGCGAGAGTAGAAGGGCCGAGAAAAAGGAAAGGAAAGGGGCAAGGAAAAAATTCGGAACGGACAATCGCAAAAAAATGAGCATGCGCCAAGTTAAACTATTCTACATTGTTGTACCTAATCTTCGGGAAATCTATCTTTTGGTAAAAAAAAATTAAAAAAATAGCTTTTCAGTCTGCAAAACTAGGTCCAATTAGCGTCATGGCAGCCAAACAACTGATTTAACGATTAAAAATGGCATTTTTTTGTGAAACTTTAGGTTTAAGCAACCACCTATTGAACGACCACCTCTATTAGCCAGCCAGTAATCAAAGTCCCGATGAGGGCGGCCAGCCCTGTTTAAGGTTTTTAAGTTTAAAATTGTACCAAAGCCTTCTTTTAGCTGGCGCACATGGTGTTCTTTCATCCACGGCTGTTAAGTGCCTTCGAGAAATCAAGGTTACTTCCAGTAATTATTACATTCATAAGAAAATAGGGCAGTTACCATCTTGAAGAGTTTGGAAAGTCCAAGTTTACTACGAGGTGTACTTTAAAAGAGATCACATTTATCTATGCAGTGGTTAAATGAGTTCGTTATTAACCTTTACAGGTGCAACTTGCTAAACTGGCTGGATGCCATGTTATCGGCACGTGTTCAACAGATGTTAAGGCAGAGTTTTTAAAGGTTGGTTTCTCTGTATTTTTTATGATATTAAAACCAAATGGCCCGTGCTGAAGTGAAGTATCGAAATTTTGAAGTACTCGTGAGTGCTCGCGCTATTTTGTGATTGGGTAATAAGTTGCGGTAACTTATCGGATGATCTATGAATCTTTTATGACGAAAATCGCGTTTGCTCGCTAAGTTCTCAGTGAATTGTTGGTTAAGGTTTTAGCCCGTTGTTTTTGTTGTTTTTTTCAGTCACTTGGCTGTGATCGTCCTGTTAACTATAAGACTGAAAAATTAGATGCGGTTTTGAAGAAGGAGTTTCCGGTAAGTGCGTAACTCATAAATTATAAAACAAACGTTGCAGTTCTGCTTAATTAGGTCTACACTTTGACGTTGTTGGTACCATTCATTCATTCAGGCCACAGGTCAATGGTTTATAAGGCAGGTTAAACCCTGAGAACTTCAGATTTGACAGTAATAAATTAACCATCATGTAATGAGAAGCTTGTCATGCAGGTATCTGTCGGGGGATTAATGAGATACAGGCCGTGTTGGGGTGATGCTCCTTACACCAAGTCCCGATTGACGACACTGGCTACGGATATTATATAATAACTTCTTTCTGTCATGCACACCCGGTATTCGAGTCCGATACCAAGAATACGAATGTGGCTTATTACTCAGAGCACTTTCATGAAGGTTAAAAATACGTGCCTCGTGTGATTTCCTTAAAAATGGGTACGTTAGACATGACGGAAGGTTTCCCCAAATTAAATTGCGTTTACCGTTGCATTTCACGTCTGCCGATCTGACAATATGTAAACAGGGTTTTCAACAAAACGTTCCAGCTTTGAGCAAAGTTTGACATGGAATTCGGTTCTTTTGTTAGACGTACAAAACACTTGCTAACTTTTCGTCAGGTATTGTCTTTACAACAATAGCTACCTCTCGTAATTGCCAGTAAGCTACACCTTTTTCAGGTTCACTTGCGTGTAATTATAACAAAAGTTTCATGCGAACTCACTGTGGTAAGAATAATGCGGCGTTAGTTAATGCCACAAAGCTAAAATTTAGTTACGCCTTCTACTTTCCCTTTCTTCCCTAAACGTTTTGTTTTACGAATAGCGGTTATTTTAAAGGTATTTGTTGTTGTAATGAAATCAGCATACATAGTCGGTGTTATTTTATTTTGGGTTTAAGCACAGTCATCGAACAAATTGGTTTTAACAATAACAACATTACATATAGCCCAGAAATTAGACAGATCTATGTCAACTTTATGGAATCCGAGTCAGCAATTTCATTGACAACAGTGGTTCGCGTCTGGTTTCTCAAAGCGTTTACAGAACATAATATAATTTGAGTACAGTGAATAGTTCTTACTTACTTCGTGAATCTGAATGAGCACAAATTGAGTAGCTCTTAATTACTCAGAGTTAAACTTCCAATGTTCGAGTTTATCGCCGAAGTAACTTTGAAATACTCAGAGCGTTTGTAAAGTGGGTAGCTCTGAATTCTTCAGAGTATTTTAACTAGCAGTATTCGGCTATGTGGAGTAACATTAAAAGTTACTCAGAGCGATTTGGAAAATGCCGGTCTCAGAAACTAGTTTGACAGGTTTGACAATGACGACAGTGTTATCTCATTGGCTCACAGGCTTTGCCTTTGTTCTTTCGCTTTATAAGCGCGGCACCACCCAGATGGTTGGGCGGTACGTTCACTCTAGCACAGCACACACTTCTCTCTTAAAATCCATTTGATATGCATTAATAAGAACACAAAACAATACAACAATACTATTCCTCTCACAGCCTACATCTAATCCCCCGCAGTTACTTACGCAGCCTTTGTTTTATTTCATTAATCACCCCGCATATACCTTCACAGCCTGCATCTCATTAATCACTCCGCAAATACCTTCACCTCCTGTATCTCATTAATCACCACGCATATACCTACACAGCCTGTATCTCAATACAATGCAGCAATACTATCCCTCTCACAGCCTTCATCTAATCCCCCACATTTACTTATGCAACTTATGTTTTATTTCATTAATCATCCCGCATATACCTTCACAGCCTGCATCTCATTAATCACTCCGCATATACCTTCATCTCCTATATTTCATTAATCCCCTCACATACACCTACACAGCCTGCATCTCATTTAACTCTCGCACATTTACTTACACAGCCTATATTTCATTTCACGAATCTCCGCACATATACCTTCACGGCCTGTATCTTATTCGTCCCCCGCATATACCTTCATAGCCTATGTCTCTAATAAATCCCCGCACACTTACTTCCACAGCCTATGTTTCTAACACTGATTAATCCTCCACGTCAGCTACCTACACAGCCTGCATCTCATGAAATCGGTCCAGCAATCCTATCTCATTAAATCGATGGTTATCACTTCATGTAGACTGACCATGTAGTATATTCATCTGGGACATACTGCTTAGTACTGTCACTTTGGGTAATTATCAGTACTGAACGTATGTTTGATTTTCTAGAAAGGAGTTGATGTGGTTTACGAGTCTATTGGAGGAGAAATGTTTGATACATGTGTGAACAGGTGAGAAGTTACGTATGATACCCGAGACCAAACCAAACCAAGATTTGAAAACATGGACAGACATGATAGGGTGATAGTTAGCTTCTACTCAGAGTCGTTTTATCCGGTGCACAAGACAATTCTAAACACAATTATTTTTAGACTGTCACTCCATTTACCGAGTTGAAGTTGAGCACAAGTCCGGCTTTGCCGTAGCAGAGTGTTCTGACGAAGAGTAAAGTACAGTGGCTTAGCTCGGACAACTTCGGTTAATCTACTTCAGTTTAGTATCAACTTCAAGTGAGTTGAAAAATAGCTAAAGTGTGTCACTTATGCCCGCTGGCGCAGCCCTATCTTTTTTTAGAAACTAATACCTTTCAGTATATTTCACCAAGAGAGGTTTGTTACGAACTTGTTATGAGTTTACCTTCTCATATTATTCATTTTAGACTAGCAACTAAGGGTCGCTTGGTGACGATTGGGTTTATCACTGGTTACAAGTCCAAGTTAGGATTCACGCCGTCCAAGAATGCAACACTGGTTCCAAAGGTACCGCGAGATAGAACTGTCTTTAGTTTACGTTAATAAATCTAAGATAGTGGTGATATAGAAGGCTTCCTTTTTTACTTTCTTGTGCTTTCAGCTGTTGTCCAGATCAGCTAGTGTCCATGGATTCTTGTTGTTTCACTTTGTGGAAGAGTTCAGACCAACTTTTGCTAAACTTGTGGACTTGTACGATAGCGGAAAGTTAAAGTGCAACCTTGACTTTGGACAAGCGTCGCCTACAGGAGTATTCAAAGGCCTAGACTCCATTGCAGATGCAGTAGAGGTAATTAAAAAGTTGTTAAACAAATAAAGTTGTTATTATTGTTGTTGTTGCTAAGAATCAAAAACGTTGGGGTCGCGCTGTTTAGCTGGTAGAGATGTCCTGTTGATTTAAAACTGAAAGGTTTGAGAGAAAGATAAGATCTTCATGTGGTGACTGATGACTACATAATTGCAGTTTTGCAAACAAATCTCACTTGGCTGTTTAGGAACAGAAATTCTTTTTTCTTCTAATTGATAAGACAACTGACCGCGTTTTTGCTTTCTCAACAGTATTTACACAGTGGAAAAAGTGCTGGCAAGGTTGTGGTAGAGATACCCGATGACACGAAAAGTCGTTTGTGAAAACTGAGCTTGACGCGCGGGACGGGACAGGCCGAGAAATAGGGACAATCTACAGAAACTTGAATCCAGATGTTATTTCCTGATAGCATACTTTTCGTGATAATTTATCCTAGTGAACCAGATTCTAAGTTGTTTTATCAAACCGTCTGAAACATGAATCACGCCATTTTCGTCGAAATTCCTCAAGTTCTCTGTTTGCGTCTTATTTGAAGATATGCTGCCGTAACAAATTTCCGAGTGCTCAAGTTATGTTTTAGATTGGATTACAGGTGAAATTTAAAGTGGAATAGATGAAAATATTCCTATCCCACTCGCTTTCCCGATTATTATGGAGCAACCTCCCTCCTGTATTACAATTTCTCTCTGAACAAGGAATGACGCTCGATTAGTGGGCTGCTAGCTTTATCCTTGCATAAGCGTTTAACGGCTCTTTAATAGAACAGTTTTAGATAAGCGTATTCATATCAGGTACACATATACATAAACATATACTTTGTTATTTTTCCACGAATAAGATTCTCAAAGACATTCACTTTTTAAATCAAGAGATTAAGAATGAGGTTTACGTCAAACTACAAACGACTGGTTTGTGATTTGCTCTTCATAGTTCTCCATTGTTGGGCTTAATGTTCACGTGAACAACGAATAAATGGAGCCCGGCGTTTTCGGGAGGAACTCGTATTCTCACAAATTCTCCATAATTTACCTACAAGTCAACATGTTTTACTTATAAAAAGAAACAAAACAGCATTATCTTAAAAGTGTACGATTGCATTGACATGCATAACAAACAATAAAAATACAGTTCTAACTCATGCTTTTTCCCCTTCGTTTTTCATTAACCTGGAAAGGCTCTCACGTTGAAAACGGCAAACGTAAAAACTGCCAGTAAAAATGGTCACGTGGTCTTGTTTGTCGTTTGCCATAAACGTCAAATTCTTAACCCCTCTAATGACTTGTTACAATATGGCAATTCTTACAGAACAATATATTAAAAAGTTAATATGAAAATTAAAAATAGACGTGTTGAGTGTTCAACTGAGTGTCGTAACGTTAAAACCAAAGCAACTACAGCAGCAGGTCATGAAAAAGACGAAGAGTCCAACGGACCGATCAGACAAAAGAAAAAAGCAAAAGTAATACACGTAACCAGGTAGCCTGCGTAGCAAACGTCCCCGGCATGAACGAAAGAACTTTTTCCGCAATCTCTCGGTCGATGCTGCGCTCTCTCCCCAGCTGTTCGCGCGACCAACAGGTGAGAAACTCTTCACTCGAACAGGACCGCTGGCTACACCCACCCTGGGCTGACACCCATATAAAAAGGACGGGGGTGCTCGTCGGAAAGTTGAAAAGAATCGCTAAGAGGTTCCAAGATCCTGTTTTGTGGGCGTGGCTTAACATATCTTTTTTTCCTGTAAGAAGTACCAATTTTAAAACAGCAAGTTATCTGCTGTCATATTTTTTTCGGTTCAATGCTCTAAAAGGTACCGGAAAAGCTCCAGCTAAGAGGTACGCCAAACACCCCTGCCTATTTTTATATGGGAGCTCCCCCCCCCCCCCCCCCCCCNTTTCTCCGTGTAACTTGCTTTTTTCGGCTCATTGAACGAGCGTGAATTTTTTGGGGGGCAGTGGTCATTATTTTTGGTGGGGTACCAGTATGCTTGCAGGATAAATTCATATCGTCAATGTTAGCCTGCAAGCAGGCTCCTCGCATGCTATGTCAAGGTTTCTTGCAAAACCATTAGTCTGTGAAATATAAATTAAGAATTGTCAGGAGCCAGGAGCACTTGCAGGAGCCCATGAGGTCCTGAAATTGTTGTTCTTCGTGCTCTGATATGATAGGTGATGATTATTTATGTCGTCATACACAGAGTACCCTTTTGCTTTCACCCTTGGGAAGTGTCACTGACCGTCAATTTCATGGGTGTCGGGGCGCCGTCTTCTTGGCCTCGCTCTGAAGAACGTTTGATGGCGGCTGCCATCTTCCGTCTGCAATTTGGACGTAGAACACTAAATAATCATTCTTACGGCACGATTGGCAGCTGTAGTTAGCTTCGTCCAACACTAAAATCCTATACTCCTGTTTACGGAGTTGTGAATAGTCATCTGGTGAATATTCCACGTGCATCGGACCTGTGTCACGGCACTTGTGAAGTGGGCTGTGTCATTTTGGAAGACATTGATATTGTAGAATTCTAACCCAGCAAGCCAAGATGCCCGCCGTAAAAGGAGAGGGGATGAGGGGCTTAGCCGTTTTTATTTCGGATATTAGGAACTGTAAGTGAATTTTGACATTTTTGGTTTGCTTGTGCTTCCTGGATTATTTTGATTTTGTTTGAATTTATTGCATTTGACACGTGTGTCTGGTGGAAACTAACACGGCGAACAACCGATCGCCGCCGTGTCTCATCTCCGGGGTATTTTACTCTATCACGACAATCTAACCTCTTCACATTGTTTCAGGTAAATCTAAAGAAGCTGAAATGAAGCGAATAAACAAGGAACTTGCAAATATTAGGAATAAATTCAAAGGTAAGTGTGTGTATAATATATTAAATAGGGTACATGTCGAACGTAGGTTGCGAGCTGATAATCTTATTACATGGATCAAGAGCGAGTTTGTTGAGGCTTCACTTGACCGCCTCAAATGTTCACTTTTTTCTTTCAGGTGATAAGCAGTTAGATGGATACCAAAAGAAGAAATACGTTTGCAAGTTACTGTTTATTTTTCTCCTGGGACACGATATCGATTTTGGTCATATGGAAGCCGTAAATCTGCTCTCATCCAACAAATACACGGAGAAACAAATTGTAAGTATTCCTGGGCTTCGGAAATGTATTTTAATTCGTTCGATTCCCTTGACTACAATAACAAGCATGAAGGCTCTGTAAACTCGCTGAAAAGAAAATAACGTGAACATGGAAACCGCCCGTTAATGAGCTAAAGATGCATCTAATTTTACGAGATTAAATCACAAGATTTTGATTTCCTTGTGGGTGCTATCAAAAAAGCGCGATCTTTTCACATTTTTGATGGAATATTGAGCAAAAAAACAAATACTAAGAAGTAAAATGAATTAAATGTGTAACTGAGATAACAGTTTACTTGTGTTTCGATCTAGTAAAGGGTAATCTTTTAAAAGGTAAAGACTTCAATCCAGTGTTATGTAATTTTCATAGTTACTCATAGATACCTGCATGCAAGCTTGAGTTTTTCCCGCCGAGGCTTGCATCCATCAAGTTATCACACAGCTGTTGTGACATATATTTTTGCTTCATTTGTACATGATCACTACTCAATCAAGTATTGGAACTCTGCATTTGTTCGAAACTTGAATAGATGAACTGGACTCCTCTCTCCCCTCAAGTTTTGGTCTAAAATCTTTCTTGGCTCTTTTTAAAAATGTGGACAGTAGTATCTTGAAGAAAAGATCACCATCAGGTTGCTACAAGATAATTTTGTAAAAAAAATGATGCAATGCAATGATGCAAAAGTCCAGAGACACAACCCTTGCATTTTCAAGTTTGCACAAGTTGCAGTCCACTCTCATCCTCACTATTGCTTGGTAGACTTTGTAATAACCATCTGGGCTTCCTAATGGGTTTGTGTCATCTGTCAAGTCCTGTTTTGTGAAATCAGACCATTTTGCCTGTGGTTGGTTTGTTTTGTTTTTGGTGTCTACAATGTAAATATGTTTTTAATTGCATGCTCATCTTACAGTTTGTAAAGCCAGCTGTCCTATGCCATTAACAGCTGTATTTAATGTATTTTATTATCAGTTTCTGGCAAAATTATGTCAAAATAAATCTGAATTCTTTAAAGGTGCTTGAATTTGGTTATCATTCTATTTATTTTAAAGCCTTGAATTACCATGTTGATTGTCAACATGTGTATTTTGCTTTCAGAGTGGATATAAATCTGTTTCACTTAAGCATAAATTAAGCAGAGATTTAGTTTTGCTTTGAAATGGGTGGGCAGTTTGAAACCACTAGTGGTTATCCGTTTTATAGTAAAACATCCATTAGAGTGGAACATCCATTTCTTATGTCAAAACTCATGTCCTTCCATCTGGAAAGCTAATGAGAAAGTGAAAGGTTTATTATTATTATTATTATTATTAATTTTTTTTTTTTTTTGATAAAGGGGAATCTGTGGTACCTGTATTTGTTTTCTTGCACTTGAAAAAGGATTAACCAAAATCAATAAACTGTTACTGATGTTGTGCTTGTGCAAACATACTAATTTTTATAGCCTTCTTTGTCATCTTCAAATCCACAACGATTTATCAAGGTTTTGTAAGGATTAATATTGTTATATTTTTCCAAGCTGTTTACTTAAAACCCGCCATACCTGTTCTATATTAGTTCTGAATTTTCTTTTGGTTTTGAAATTTTTTGGGACATATCTTCCCATGGAATATTTTCCTTGTCATAAGATGTGACATGGCAATGCCTTGAAATTTTAGTGAAACATTGATCATATTCTGATACTCTTACTCTTCATCCACAGGGCTACCTCTTTATTTCAGTCCTCGTTAGTGCGAACAGCGAGCTAATCAAGCTAATTATCCAGAGCATCAAGAACGACTTGTCTAGCCGTAATCCCATCAATGTCTGCCTTGCACTGCAGTGTATAGCAAATATCGGCAATGAAGAAATGGTTGATGCAGTTGGCAAAGAAGTTCCTAAGCTGTTAGTTTCTCCAGATACAAACGACAGTGTCAAACAATGTGCGGCACTTTGTGTTTTGAAGCTCTTCAGGCTTAAAACAGATATCTTGCCTCCCGGAGAGTGGACGTCAAGAATAGTTCAACTGTTGAATGACAAGCACTTGGTAGGTACAGTACAACAATACAGATGTTTGCATTTAGCATTAACTAGAATGATTTACTGTGAATGTAAAGAACATTTTTATTGCATGCCCTGCTTTGTTGTTTCAGCTGTATGCCACAATAATCTTCTTGGTTAGTTATCTTCAATTAATAATATAAGTGTTGCTCATTGTTTGGAATGTTTGATCATTTTCCTTTAGGGTGTGGTAACCTCTGCTGCCAGTCTCATTCATGGTGTTGTCCACTATTACGCGGATGACTACAAGGGATGTGTTCAGCTGGCAGTCTCCAGGCTTAGCAGGGTAAGGTTGTTGTGTAAGGCATATGAATCTTTCCAGTGAAGTTACATTTAGTGCGCTCTTTTCAGACTTCTAGGTTAGTCGACTAACCCAATAGAAATGAAAAAAAAAAAAACAAAACAAAAAGGTGCATTGAAATCTGCAATTCACAACCCACAGTCAAGACCATTTAAATCCACCATTTAAAGTGAACTATTGTCAAAGGGTGCAAAAAACTATTGAATAAGATTTTCAATTTAGATTTACAGCGGCATGGTTGTTATAGCCCCAGTGTGTGGTTTAAATCCAGATTCAAATGATAATTTTGATTTCTTTTCAACAGATTGTGACATCGTCTTACACTGACCTTCAGGACTACACCTACTATTTTGTACCGGCACCCTGGCTTTGCGTCAAGCTGCTGAAACTTCTACAGTTGTATCCTCCCCCAGGTAACTGTATCACCCTGTTCATGTACTTGTATTGCAGTATTTTTATCCTTTGGTTTTGTGTGGCTATTCAAAATATAATGAAAGGTGTTGATCAGGCCCCGTGTGTTCGAAAGGAGGATAATGCTATCCACTGAATAGTGATTTATCCTATGGATAGCATTATCCGGCCTTCAAACAACTAGGCCCTGTTCTTTTAATCGCTGCTTTATTTTTTCCAAGTACTCAAGAAATTATGTATTAGATGCAGTTTCAGTGAAACACATCTACAGGGATATATGTTGCTAAACAAATTTTCTGATGGAAATTGTGAGATCAGTTAATTATCTGATACAGGATGTTGACCTTTAGTATGCCAAAGTGATAAATATCAAAAGATCCTCAATGTTGATTCTTTTGTCACTGTAGATGACCCAGCTATCCTTGGAAGATTAAATGAATGTCTGGAGACCATTCTAAACAAGGCCCAGGTATGTTTTGCAACATTTGTATTGATTGTTTGGCTGGTAGGTTGGTTATGTGTACCAATGTATTTGTTGTGCCTCTTTCCTGACTCTCACATTTTTAATTATTATAATTACGGTCACCCAACTAGTTTAGCTTTTTAGTTATTTTGGGTATCCCACTACTGTATGTACTGTACTGTTTATTTATATATTTATAATTATAATCTTGTAAATTCTTTTAGTTGTTTACAGTAGTAGAAATAAACTGAAATAAACTGTTGTTGTAGGACTAATAAGTAGACACAACAGCAACGCAAGGAGTTTGGGGCAAAAGAACTATTTATTGAAAACTGCAGGCTATGAAATTAAATCCAGGGAGGGTAGGGAGGGTAAAACTAGCGAGGAGAAACCACAACTGACCTTTGAGATAACGCTGAACTCAATATGACCGAGGAGAAACCTGACTCAACTGCGAAAAGACATGAACCACACTAGGGGGTGTGTCACAAATTAAGCGTTTTGACAAAGCCAAAAGCACCAAAAAGTAACACTGTGCGTTCTTGATCTGTTGTAGGAACCACCCAAGTCAAAGAAAGTTCAGCATTCAAATGCAAGAAATGCTGTTCTCTTTGAGGCCATAAATCAAATCATTCACATGGACAGGTATTGCCTGTTTGTTATAAAATGTACTGTGTTACAATATAACAGAACTTCAAAGTGGTGAAATATGTCTGAAGGTGACAGCAAGCAAGCAGTTTAGTTTTCAAGGTTGGGTTTTGATAACAGATACACTGCAAGCAAGAATAGAGCTTTTTAGCTGAGATGAAAGAAACAATCCCACTACTCAACAGGCTAACTTGCTATTTAACTGAAGTGATAAGTTTTCTTCGTTGTTGATGCCAAGCTCTGGAGATATAATATTACTAATTATCATTTATTTCTTTTGACTTCAGCCTGATCTTTGTCTCTTTTCAGTGAACAGAGCTTGTTGATAAGAGGTTGTAACCAGTTGGGTCAATTTTTGACACACAGGGAAACTAACCTGAGGTATAGTGACTTTGTGGTAAATTTATTTTTCTTTACTCCAAACTATTTTGACTCCAATATTTTTTTAATTTAACTATTCTTCTTAGGTATCTTGCTTTGGAAGGACTTTGCCTGATGTCCAACTCTGAGTTTTCAGTCGATGCTGTTAGAAAACATCAAGAGACTGTTGTCAGTGCACTGAAGGTGAGTGTCAGATGTTTAGAATAGAAAGGTTTGATGGTGATTATTCTGTGGGCTTTGTCCTCTTTATACACTTTGTAACACAATTTGGGTCATCTAACATACACTGTGACTAGCCGTGGAGTCACCAGATGGTGGTATCATTGATTTTTGTTAAAAAATGGCTAACTCTTGTTTATCTAGCCTGATGTAGACACTTGACAAAGTTTAAAGTTTGGAGAATTTAGAAGTGTTTATGTAAGCCTTAGTTTCCTGCAGCTTGAATTGTAAACTGTTAATCAAATTGCCCCAAACTTCCACAGTTGATTGCTGGAATAATTATTAAGCTCCAGAAATATGTGCGTGATTTGCTTATATTTCTTTGTCATGACAATAATTATATATTACCTATTTTAGACTGAGCGTGATGTCAGTGTACGTCAAAGAGCTGTTGATCTGCTCTACGCCATGTGTGACAAGAACAACGCTGAGGAGATTGTGTCTGAAATGTTAACGTACCTTGAAACAGCTGATTACTCTATTAAAGAAGAAATGGTAATGGTTTGTTTATGTCAACATTGCCATTTTAATGACTGCTAATTATACTGAACTGATTTCTAAAATGGAAATTCTTTTTCCTAATGTACATCATCACATCAGGTGTTGAAGGTGGCAATCCTTGCTGAAAAGTTTGCAACAGACTATTCCTGGTACATGGACACCATCCTTACACTGATCAGGATTGCTGGAGATTACGTCAGTGAGGAGGTTTGTAGTCACTTCTGATTCCTTGTGGTACTTTTTACTGAGACTTCGAATATCGATTACCCTTACGGATTGAATGTTGTTCATGAATTATTTGTTTTGGTTAGCATTGTTTGAGTCACAAAATTCCCTTCAGGTGTGGTACCGTGTGATCCAGATAGTGATTAACAGAGACGACATTCAAGGTTATGCTGCCAAGACAGTGTTTGAGGCTTTACAGTCCCCATCCTGCCATGAAAACATGGTTAAAGTCGGTGGCTACATCTTGGGAGAGTTTGGAAATCTCATCGCTGGAGATCCAAGATCAAGGTAAAAAGTAAATGATACTGCAAAGATAGCTAAAATGCATGAGCTATCTTTCAGTTTCAGTCTGGCTCCAAGTTGCAAGGAAGACAGCTAACATAACTGAACTACAGTATAGAGAAGTTACGCGAAGTAATTTTTCTTAAGCATTAAACTGTAAACAACTACTGTGAACTACTATGTTAACTAAAAAATAAACATTTCAAAGTTGCATGAATACAGTTGCAATGAAATCATGCCAATCAGGCAATTTTAGAAACAACTGTCACATGTAAGAATTTTTATTTACAATCCTGTTTGTTGAGTAGAACATCTTAAAATCATTGCATTGCTTCTCTGTTTTATATTTTCAGCCCAATGGTTCAATTTCAGCTGTTACACAGCAAATTCCCATTGTGTGCCTCCTCCACGAGAGGCCTTCTGATGTCAACATATGTCAAGTTTATAAATCTCTTCCCAGAGATCAAAGGACACATCCAAGAGGTACTAATAGAGTAACGGCAGAAAAATAATAATTATCTTAAAACACTAATCTGATCCTTTGATGTTGTAAATCTTGCCGCCACAAAGTGTCCAGATACCAGGGCTTCAAACTTATGTTCCCCGAAATCTGCTTTTCATTTCAGATTTTGCGAAGTGATTCAAACCTTAAAAATTCAGATGCAGAGATCCAGCAGAGGGCCTTGGAGTACTTGAAACTTAGTACAGTTGCATCTCCAGATGTTTTGGTAGGTTCAGTATTTTGTTTGGGGTCACCCCTCCCNCCCCCCCCCAAAAAAAAAATGAGATCTTGAACTTCAGAGTTTTTCCATGTTGTGTTCTGATTGTGGTTTCTGTTCATGTCTTCATTGAAGGCCACTGTCCTTGAAGAAATGCCACCATTCCCAGAACGCGAGTCTTCCATCTTAGCCAAACTAAAGAAGAAAAAGAAGGAAAAGGCCGGCATCCTTGACAAGGAAGAGAAGAGTGAACCAGCTGAGAAGCCAACAGCAAATGGACAGGTTCCTGTGGCTAATGAGGTAGAAAAATTAATAAATAAATGAATGCTAAATCACTTAATTTGAGTGTCATGGTATTTAGCACTGCTGTGTTAACTGAGGACACTGCTGTGTTAATTGTTAAGATAACTGAAATCTTGTTAAAATCCCAACTGGTTGAAGGCTGACCAGTTGGCTATTTACAAGACGTAGAAGAGTTGAATTCAGGAGCACTGAACACAAATCCATTTCATAGCAGGGAGACGGATTTGAACCCAGGACCTCCAGATTACAAATCCAGCACCCTGGCCATTAGGCCACGCCACCTTCAGTAAATTCACAGCAGTGTTGTTAGTAAACTTGTCAATTGTTAGGTGTAAAGAATTGTCAAATGTCATATCACAGAGTACATGCCTACAAGCAGACTGTGCAAACAATGTGCAACCGTCGTGATGGCAATTGACACAACTTTAATACCTTTGACACTGGTGAACTCTAATTGATCAGTTTGCTTCCTTGCAGGTTTCTGCTCCTGCTCCTGCTCCAAATCTTGCTCTACAAGCAGGTAAGATATACAAGGTTTAATTCAGAATTGGATCGACTTTAAATCAAAAGCCTTCTGTATCACTACAAGCACAATTGGTGCACTTCTGTACATATACTTTTGAATTCAAGAGATTTCATATCATGATTAAACTGTTATTTCTTATTGCCTGGTGAGTCAGTCTCATTATAGAGGATGTGACTGCATCAGGTTTGACCTAAAAGGTTTGTACTAAGAACTTGACAATCCCTTCAGAGATCCTGGCATGATAAATACTATTAAATGGAAGCTTGTAGTGCTTACATTGAAATGATCAAATCTTATGATACCTTTGTGACAAGACATGAAAGAAGACCAAAAGAAATTGCCTAACAGAATTATATATTTAATTTTCTGAAATGTTACAACTAAGTGTTTAAAACTCATTTTTAAATGGAGTTCTTGATCAGGAGTTTTGAAAGGATTAATCATATGAAATTTTAATCACACGCAAAACATCACTCTTGGAATAATGATAAGGCAGAAGATGATTTGATTTTTCATTGTTACAATGTTCTTTGGTCATAGATCTCTTCAGCACAGAGCCAGCTGCACCCAACCCTGTGACAAACAACTATGGGGCTCCTGATACTGGCGGGGGACTGCTAGTGGACGTGTTTGAGATGCCGGCGACACCCATAGCAGGAAGTGCTCCATCAGTCACGCCTGGTGCAGAGGAGAATATTAAGAAGTAAGCTACTGTGTATTGTATTTAATACATGTGGTAGACTTTCTTTTTAATTTGTTGTTACATTCTTCACTTACAGTGGTCCAAGAATTTCACTTAAAAATTGGCTTTTTCCCCTTCAGTCAGGTTAATTTTACCGACTATAACATCATTAGTGAAAACTACATAGAAATATTTCAAAATTAAAAACATAGCAAATGTTTTGAGTCAATCAGTTTGACAGAAATGGAATAAGAACTATGTCTTCAATTGTTAGTGTCCCCTCGCCTTCAAACACAGTCCAATTTTTGCCTGTGGTGTCATGAAGTGGTCTGTGCACAGGGGAGGAATGAAGTTGTAAACATGCAGACCCACACCTTAGATTACTGGCTGAGGAGTTAATTTAACGACTTTTTGTTATTTTGTTGACAGATTTGTGTGTAAAAACACTGGTGTGCTCTTTGAAACTGACATCCTTCAAGTTGGGATAAAATCAGAATTCAAAGAGGGCAAGGGTAAGTATAATAACAATGGTAGTAATAATGGTTATAACCCAACTTGCCATAATGGTTTTCAGAGGGGCCTTTAAAGTATAAAAAAAAAATAAAGTAAAAGAAAGCAACAAAAAGGAAAAAAAAATAATATTAACATAACTTTGTATTATAGTTCACAGCTGTTATTATTTGGGTTGCAAAGCCTCTGCCATCATGGAGGTGCTGGCCTCATGGTTAGTGCACTCACTTCCGGATTGCGCAGTCTGGGTTCGAGTCCTGGCCCTGACCATTGTGTTGTGTTCTTGGGGAGGACGATGTACTCTCACAGTGCCTCTCTCTACCTAGGTGTATTTAAATGGGTACCTACAAATGAAATGTTGGGGGAAACACTGCGATGGACTAGCATTCCATCCAGGNGCAGGAGAAGTACTCCTAAACCTAGTCGCTTCATCCTTCTGAAACTGGAGATAAGCACCAGCCTGATGCGCCACTTGGTTCACATACAGACTTTACCTTTTAAAGCCTCTACTAACTGCGCTGATGGCAAAGTCTTAATATTTGCATACATACCACTTCTGTTTTTGCTCAGTGAATGATTTTGCCCATTTTAGAATAATAAGGTGTATTATTAGCTGCTGGATAACTAAGGTTTCATTCTTTGTTTTCTTTGTCTCCCTTTTTATTACTTTCTAGGCACTCTTGGTATCTTCTACGGCAACAAGACGTCATCTCAGTTTGTTGCATTCACTACCACTCTTCACATGCCAGGAGATCTGAATACTCATATCCTTTCAAATGAAGATCATAAATTTTGTAAATGTTGGCTACGATTGCGTTATTTAAAACCTCTCGGAGAAGCCAAGTACCAGTAGTGAAGTCAAGGCAAAGTTAGTCTCCTGTAAACTAACCTTTGCATGCAGTCGGGCAGGGTTCGTCTTTGTCAATTTGGTTACAGGTTGTCATTTCTATTGAATATTGATTCTGGGTGTCATGTTGTTCCCTTCCTTGACTTTGTTCACGTCTCAGAGTTGAATCCAATCCTCCCCCGAATGTTGTGGAGGGCGGAGCCCAGGTGAAACAGAATGTCAATGTAGAATGTATCCAGGATTTCAAGGATCGTCCAGTTATAGATCTTCAATTCAGGTATCTCTCTTTAGTTCTGAAGCAGCATGTTAGCCTCTTCCAGGCGTCCAGTTACTGGAGTTGGGGCGCAGCGCGGAAAACAGCGAGCAAGTAAATAGGGGAGAAGCATGGCAAGAGAAAGTGCTCCTCTCTCGCTTTGCTTCACTTTCTATCGCCGCGCTTCTCCCCTATTTTTTTGCTCACCGTTTTTCGCGCTGCGCCCCAACTAACGGAATGCCTGGAAGAGGCTAATTTCATGTGGGATTTAATGGAATGCAACTTACCTAAGAAAAGTGTCTGACTTAAGGTCCAAAGTTCAGCAAGAGCTCAACAGTAGCTATGTTAACCCAAAAGTAATGGATGCTGTGAAATTGCTTGAGGAACCTTATAAAATACAGAAGAGTAATCAAGCATCCCTATACCCCCCCTCCACTCACCCGCCCCTCTCATCTAACTAGCATCTGATCCAGAGTGCGTGAGGAGCAATATTCTGCTTGCTTCATTCCATGCATTCCATTTTAAACCACTGTTCAGGGCAAGAATTTGTGTTTTTGTTAACTACGTAGGGGAGAGAAAGGTAATATACACAGTCCAAACCATTTTTGTAGGAGTTTGTATAGTCACTTGGTGTCATTTGAACAGTTTAGTTGTTTTCCAGAAACTGGATATGGTAACATAAACTTAAGGTTCAGAGAAAATTGACCATCCACAAAAAACTTGAGTTCGATTGCAAAACACGCTCGATTAATACGAGTTGTGTTCCCTTATTTTCGAAGACACTTTTGAATAGAGGTTATGGGCTACTAACTTTCTTGTGGCGCTTTTGTTGTAAGTTTTAAGCATGTTCTTTACCTTTCCTTGCTAGTGTGAACGGCATGAGTCAAAGGATTGCTCTTCCGCTGCCTCTGTTTGTTTCCAAGTTCTTCTCGCCAACAGAAATGAACTCACAAGACTTCTTTTCGAGATGGAAACAGTTGGGAAAGTAAGTAGCTGTTCTGGGTTTCCTTGAGTACTGTCCTTTTTAGGGTGTATAATTAAGTAAAACTCCTTGTAAACTTTCTCAAAGTCCCAGGCAGTTGTTTTTCTTTGTCCGAGCGCGAAAGACGAAGGTCTAGCTCGCGTCCTCTGCACTCTGGTTTTTAGTGTCGCGGCATTTTTTTCCCTCCGAGCTTGACCTTCGCAGCTTCACTTGTGAGCAAGTCTATTATTCCTTGTTATAGTGATGTACGTGGGCGCCATTTGGCCACATCTTGTTAGGTATAAGTATAGTTACAACATGTTGTATTTGTTTTGTTCCAGTCCCGATCAAGAATGTCAGCAGATTTTTAAGGCTAATTTTCCGATTGACACCGAGACGATAAAGGCAAAGGTAAGGCAGGAAAATCAAAAACATACAACACGTGGAAAGCGTAGAATAGCCAAAAAAGAGACAAAACATACAATCAGTAAAACGCACGAGAAAAAGAGAAACTTTGTAGCTGACGTTGGGTAAGCTTTGTAACAGGTTAAAAACGCGGGTAAAACACACGCGAAAGAAACGGGTGGAAAGCGCGGGAAAGGTCGTGGACGCAAAACGGTTATTGTTTTCGCTGTTTGACTCAATTGGCCGCGAAAGCAAAATTTTGACTGTGATTTGTTAGAACAAGCTGCTGGCGTTTCCTGTACCAGTCTGCTAACTATACAAAAGTTAACTGTACCGGCTTAAGAAGGTTTGGGTATACCACCCTTAACATCGTGGGTGATAAATTACTCCTTAATTTGGCGCGAAATTTTAGCGTTAATATCAACTCACAATTTCACATGTGAAATTACAAAATTGCCATGGCAACGTTTGCTGCGAAATTTCTCGATACAATAAACAAGTCAAAAACCCAGGATTGTAAGCGTAATTTGTCACCCATGATATTAAAGAGCCATCAAAGGCTCGGGAAATTATAAGAATTTTGTCAAAACGCGCGCGAAATTATTTATCAATTTCACTCGTCACCATTTGATTCCCCACACGAATCATTCTGTGCCAAGTTTGTCCAGTGAGATTCCTAACTGTATTCTTGTAATCTTTCGTAGCTTGTTGGGTTTGGAACGTCCTTACTTCAGAATGTAGACCCGAATCCTGAAAACTTTGTCTGTGCCGGTATAATTAAGGCGGGGACGTTACAGATTGGAACACTGCTTCGACTAGAACCGAACAGACAAGCACAGGTAAACAGTACTCTTGTTCTTTACTGTAAAATATGAGAAGTAAATCATCAAATCGAGTGATGTATATTGAAGAGCTTAAAGAAGCTCAGTCACGCTATTTTGAGTTATTTTGACCACATACAAAAATGAAAATTACCTTTAAATTGAAGGAAACTTAAAAATATTGATATTCTAAGATAGAAAAACAACAGATAGTAATCAACAATAAAGGAACAAGGATGGCTAAGGACGGAGAAGATTAACACGGATTACAAACGAAGAAGTTGAAGAATTACGGCTAAACTTTTCAAGAGGGGCAAACCGTGACGTAGCTCTATTTCTTTTTTTGCGACAAACCGTCGTTTCTTTTTGGAATTTTTTCTTATTTAGATGATAATTTTATTCAAAGCATGAAACTTTGAATTAAGACAAAACACTGTGCAAACTTGTTAACTGTGTCGTTGCCCTTTCTTTTCAGATGTTTAGACTGACAATTCGTAGTTCAAGACCTCATGTTGCGGCGACCCTTGCTGAAATTTTGGTAGACCAGTTTTAAACCTGTTCCCAGATGCTGACGCTTGCTGAAGGAGGCTTTGCAAAAGACCCTGCATGCGAAATAAACCAGTTATTTTATCAAACATCACCCAGTGAAGAACATTTCCTGTCATAGCCTTTTCCGTATAGTTTTGCCATGCCTTTGAATGCGCTGTATAAAATTGGTGTTAGTGTAGGAGTAAGCTTTTATCTTGACTTCAATATGTTTACTTTGGCTTTTAAGTTTGCTTAACTCTATAATTGCTTTATAAAAACTCGTGCAACGCTCTCCAACGCGGGAAATCGTGACTTTCCCGCGCCAGTGGTCACATGTTTCTATTGTGAGTTCTGATTGGTTTTCTGCGCTTTTTCGGCCGCGGTGAGTGGCTTCGGTCGTTTGTACATCCGGCTCAGTGATAGATTCAAAACAACAGGGTATAGCCATTTAGCCACGGTTCTCTATGAGAGCCTGGTGGCTAAATGGCTAAATAGTTAAATTGCTTTCTTTCTTGAACACCCAAAAGAAACTATTTAAAGATGCGGGCAGACGTTGCTATGCAACACGACTCGTGTACAGGTCGCAGTGCTCGCGCGATCGTTTAACTGGAGAATGGAGTCAGAAACTATTCAAGTGATTCAAAGCTTCAATGAAGATTTGCCATAAACGACAGTCATTTTCCTTTTTTAATATGACCTTGCACGAAGCAACGAGCTAGGGGCAATATTCTTCCATTTTGACATACCATGCTGTTCTAGAAAGCGGAAGTCTCTAAGAATTCTGCCACTTGACTGGAACTTTCGCGTTGAAATTAAACTTCTGTAGAAAGTGTGCAGTTGCAACTTCATGGTGGGGCTAAACGGACCGGAGTTTTGGTGGAATTCCCCAGTAAACTGAACCTTTTCGTTTCGGCCAAACACAATATTAATTTCCTTCGCTGGAATCCGCAACAGATATCAGTAATATTTTCTTTTTATATGTTGTAGACTTAACATTTTCAATTCATTGTAGAACTGAACTGGAGGTAAAATTGTCATTGACAGAAGACGCAGTGTTCTTGATACGCTTGTGGCCTGTAGGAATGTGATGTACGTAGAATTTAATTGAATATTTTGATCGCAAAAGCTATCCTTTTAGTCAAAGTGACTTGTGTTTGTTGAAATAATACAGTTTTAAAGTAAACATGAAGTATATACGTATGATGGGATTATGTCAAGTAATCCGAAGTTGTGATAAATGTGGTATTTTAATCTATCAATGATAGTTAACGAGCGCAAGCTTGTTATGGCCTGCCTGTATACACTTAGGAATTTTATATAAAAAAAGAAAGAAACAACAACATGAAACATGTAACAAACTTAAGTACTAGGCATGTAGGTGCCCAGAATCGCCTGATGCAAAATAAAAATATTAAAATGGCTCAGTGCTCATTTTCTTTTCTGTTTGTTAGTTGCTCCTTAATGTGGTCAACTGCCGTCTTCCCTCTAACTTAAAGTCAAAAGTCATGCCGACCGTGTACCCAATGTCAATATCGATGTCGTATTGTGTGGTCGCGGCATTGACACCCCGTCCACACTTCGACAGAGGAATTTGAAAACAGGTTTCACTCTGGAAACACATCAAATGTTTTCAGTCCACACTACGCCGGAGGAATTTGAAAACGTAGCAATCACCGGTCACTTTGGATTTGTGTTTGAGGAAAACTCGGTCAGGGAAATCACACGATTATCGTGAGATTGTCATTTTCGAAAAGCTTCGTTTTCAAAATGTTTTTGGTCCATCCGTAAAGCCAACGTTTTCAGATTCCTCCGGTTTGAAGAGCTCCGTTTTCGTGATGGATTAGTGCGCGGAACGGTAGGCCTAACGCCCGGGGGAGGTACTTTGGGAATTTCTGGGTGGGGATGTGCCGCCGGGACCCTGGAACCCTTAGCCTATACCAGAGCTAGTTCAGCTGAATTTTGCTACCCTATTCTAGAGTAAACTCCCCAAATCCCCCCCATCTATCGACACTGTTGAGGCTGATTTGCGTAAATTTAAACTTGCTGATTTGATTTTTTTGTATGTTTTTGAGTGGCAATTCCTGGTTTCTGGAGTCTAGATAAAATCTTCAACCAACCAGTCAGTTTTGTGAAAAATGATACCCTATTCTAGACCCAAAAGCTCTGATTTACATACCCTATCCTAGAGTAAACTGCTTGAAAACCATACCCTTCACAGCGGCACATACCTATATAGCCCACATATGGCAGTCC